AGGCACTGCTATGAGCTGCAAAGGACAGGAAGTTGTGGAGACCCAACTATGATTGCCTACGTCATGAAAGGACAGAGTGCATTAATTGCAGTTAATACTCACTGTAAAATTCAGTATTAATTTATAAAAATGAAAAGTAATCCTGATATTACCGTATTTTCCGACTAACAAGACACTGCGGTTTGGAAGACGCACCCTAATATTAGAAAGAAATTTCGAAGGAAAAACAGTCATTCTAATACAACAACACATTCACCATGCACCCATCACATTATTATTGTTTACATTAATCACTCGTGTGATTTTGTTTTATGGCAATAACATACTAGTCAAGAGCAGAAATACCCCCCTCCGCTTCTAGTAAACAGAGCATGTTTAAGCTTGTGGCTCGGCTCCAGGAAGGTTTATAGTCTTGGAAATACTTCTAACAGCTAAGTACTGAGGTTACATCATATAAAAGGCTGAATTAGATAGTTAACATTATAGTGTAATTACTCAACATACAAATCCTACGTCCCTATCAGTTAAACTAATTAGGTGACAGTCCAAGTTTGCTTGAGCCTGGACGTTGCCTTACATTCGTCTTGGAAGATGCACATGCATTTTTCAGGGTATTTCTTGGGAAAAAAAATGCGTCTTGTAAGCCGGAAAATACGGTAATTATAAATTTAAAAAAAAAAACCAACGGGATGTTAGAAAATGATTTTACAATTTTTCGAAATAGGTTCAGTTTTACTGTATTAGAGCAAGACTGAGGGAGAAAGAAAGTGTAGAAAAGTGTAAGGGAGGGGGAGAGAGAGAGTGAAAAAACCGAGGAAGAGGAAGAGTGATGAAAAGTGCGTGGAAGAGAGAGAGGGGGGAACAAAGATGTGAGAAAGCGTGAAGAAAAGTATAGAAATTAAAGAAAAATGTGATGATTTCTCAAAAAATGGACGTACCTGAAATCTTTTGCAGAATCCTCCTCACTCAGATATTTCAAATAATTAACATCCAAGAGTTCATGCCCGTAATAATTTTCAAATAAGATATGATTCCGCAAACATGGTCACCGGAAAATTGAAACTTTTATAAATATCGTCTTGTTGTGCACACCATTGTAGTATGAGCAATGGCCAACAGGAAAAGAGGTCATGGCCGTTAATCTCTCGCTCGTATTTAGCAATTAAGTTCTCTTAAAACTATTACGTCATAAAAATGATACAATTTACTCCTGTATTTATTACTTCAATAAAAAAAAGTGAAAGTTATGGTCAGTTTACGCCACAAATATTCATGTGAAGCCAAAGAAGAAACAATTTCGTCTATCCAGAATTCCTTTTCTGAATATAACGAGAACATTCCAATGATTTCACGTAAGATGGTAATATATTCAAACTTTTATGATTTTTTTAAAATCATTTCACCCCAAACAAGGCGATAGTGCTACTAAGATGCAAGTGGTTACTGGTAGTGAAAGAGAATAAGACTTTAGAAGGATCCAGAACCCAATCCTAAACAGGAAATCAGATATAAACCTCTACTCTTGTTCATACACCGAAAAATTGTAAAAGTAGTGTGAGTGAGTGTGTGTGTGTGTGTGTGTGTGTGTGTGTGTGTGTGTGTGTGTGTGTGTGTGTGTGTGTGTGTGTGCAACGCAAATGTGTATATATTTTGTCTATCTAAAAGTACTTTTCTGAATATAACAAGATTTTTTTTCCGGGCAGTTGGAGATTTCACAAAAGATGCTAAAGTATTTGGACTTTTAAAATTTTTATATAGCAAACAAAAAAAACTAGTAAAAATCTAAATTTCCCAAATATATGGGTACTTGAAATCTTTTGTCATTTTCCTCCAACTATTGAGTGTCTATCCTTTTACAAAAGTTCGTTAGCTAAGGTTACTCAATGTTTACCTCTTGCCTTAAATTTCCTGGGGGTGTCAAATTCTCCAAACACTCTCTCCCCTCATTATGTGTCCCAGAAATTTCAGCTGCCTCTTTCTGATTCTAAATATAGGTGTCTTTTTTTGTACCCATTTCTTTAAAACTTCGTAGTTTACATGCTTTGCCCATGGTATTCCCAGCATCCTTCTGTAGAACCACATGTCTGTCTCATGCGCGAGAAAATTGTCCAGCATTCGCTACCAAACAGTAATATTATATTACATAACAGTTCAGAACTCTTTTCTTTGTTGCTAACGAAATTTTCATGTTTCTTAATATTTTGCTTAGCATTTGGAAGATTTTTGTATCACACATTTTCCGTCATTTGTTAAAAAACCGTTTTTTCTGCAATTGATATCTTTCTGGGAATTTGTATTGACGACAGCATAGCAGAATAAGAAAGTTAGTAAGTGGACCAACATTGCTTAGAGCTTTTTATGTTCACCCTGCACAAGGCCCGAGGACCACTCAAGGCAGTGGGTTACAGACTAAGAGGCATAGTTTATGCGTATATTTGTAAAACACTGGTTCCCAAACGGTGCGGCACACCTTAAAGGTGCTACGGAAGAGGATAGCAGGTGAGGCGGAATGATTGACAGACAATCAAAGATTTAGAAACAGCTTCAAAAAATTCATATGCCAAAAAATAATAGAATTTTAAAATTTAAAATATTATGGAGCGATGCAACATAAGCTGGAAATGTTCCCATCGGTAAAAAGTTTTAAAACGAGTAAGAAATGTATGTCCTTATACAAGAACCTCTTGTAACATTTTTAGAAAAAAATTATGATTACTTTCTATCGTTGTCTACAGAAAAATTCGGCTTGGTCATAGATCTTTTTGTAATCCAAGCAGTTTAGATCTGACATTAGATAAGGAGGAAGAATTGGCAAACATTTCGAATGATCGCACCTTAAAAATGAAACACAATAGTATACCACTGAACTCTTTTTAGATATAAAACCAGAAACAATATTCACGTGTCTCTTCAAAAGCATTATCCATTCTTCGACAGTTCTCTACGACATAGTGATGTGAACAAGGATTTTCAGTTCTGACCAATATTAAAAACCAAAAAAGGAAATGCTTCTTTGTGTTGATGAGGAGATGAGAGTTTGTTTATCTCAAATTAGGCCGAATATAAAGGAGATTACCCGTCAAAAACAAGCTCATAGATTTCATTAAATTTGTGTACTTTAATCATATTAGAAGTTATTTGTATTATATATTATATTAAATGCTCTAATAATCGTTGTTTATTTTATTTTTAAATTTACTTTTTATCACATAAAATTTGGTGAGGCGCCAGCAAATTTTCTTTTCGAAAATGCGACCCAGAGAAAAAACGTTTTGAACTGTTAACCCTTGACTTGAACAGGTTAAAATTGTAATGACCGGGGAAGCAATCTCTTGGGATATTAATCTTATCTAAACACACACGCGCGCGTGAGACATTTATTTATGCTCGCATTGGCTCATTTCAGTGAATTAAATTAAATAAAGGACTTGTTATCACATACTTTAAAAAAATACCATATCCCTTACAGATGTAAGCAGTAATGACTCTCCACAGCTTCCTTTTCATTATTATCTGTAAATTGCCATGAACTTATCGAGAAAGTTAGTGGAGTGGTTTCCTGTTACCTTGTCCACTGTTTTCGATTAAGAGTTTTATTTTTCCGGTTCATGGATGTAATTAAGCGTTTTGACGCAACAAAATAGTCTTCACTTTCTTCTCTTTCATTGGCCTTCTGTTCTGGACTAAACATTTAACAACAAAAAAGCTTACTTAATATACATCAACAATGCGATAATGTTCTTTGTTTTAAAACGATTTTGACAAGCTTTGTTCAAATTGCTTTTGTCTGTACAGAATAATAAAAAAAACTTCGTTATTTAATTTTAGAAAAAAAAAATTAAAAAAACATTTGTTCTCAGAACATTAAAAATAGGCTTAATTATCTCATTATTTTTTCAGTAAATTTGAAGAGCTTAAATTACTCTTTTCTGCGTTTATAGCATTTCAAAAGACAGCAGGTGTTCAAGAGTATTTCCAGTGAAATAACGTCCACACACACACAGTATCGCGTCTCGCCGTCTCTGTTTGTATAAAATGTCGACCCCACCTTCTATAATGACAGTAAATACAGGACAATTTCCACACAGATGAAGAGGAGGTAACAGAAATGTGGTTCTACAGAAGAATGATGAGGATTTCATGAATGGAACACATGAATAACGATGAAGTCTTAATGAAAACGGGAATAAAAAGGACACTTGTATTTAGAATCAGCAAGAGGCATTTGAAATTTCTGAGATACTTAATGAAGAAAAAAGATTTGGCGAATCTGACCCTCATAAGACATAGATTGAAGACATGTGGGGCAGAGAGAAGCAGGGAGTAACCTACTTAACAGGCTTGTGTAAATGGACGGCACAGCATGGGCCGGGAAAGTAAGTAAAGCGACAAATATTATTTGGCACTAGAAAGGAGAGGAAGTTTTGGAGAGCCATCGCACCCACGTCCCGAATAAAAACGGTACATAAAAGAAGATATTGACAGTTTTATTTTGTTCTTTTCAACCTTCTAACAGGTAAACTCTTTGATAAGATAACATGTTTGGGTTTCGCGTTCCTTCTAAAGTCTACTTCAACTCTATACTTCTAACGTCACCGTCTGAATTTTGAAATTTTACTTACTAATTTGTTTTCTCTCTCTTCGATAGGTCCGCCTACCGTCCGGTTAACACATCTTCCTGGTCTTGTTCCCTGTTTAGGATCGGGTTTCCGGGCCCTTCTAAAATCTTTTCATTATGCTTCACTCCCAGTAGCCTCTTGCATCTTAGTGACTTTATCGCCATGCTTGGTGTGAATTGATTAAAAAATATAGAAAATTATACCGATCAGATCTATCATCACTTGCGTCAGCTTGCCCCCATGTTCCACTCTTTTTTTTGTCGTCAGCCTGTGAAAGTCCCCTGTTGGACGAAGGCCTTCTCTAAATCTTTCCCTTGCCGTTTATGGAGGGGGGAATGGTCTGTTTCTCTACTGCGCTAGCCTGATGCATGCAGGTAGGGGCTTACAACACCTGGTATTCCTATCAAGGTACTGACCAGGATCAACGTTGCTTAACTCCGGTGATCGGACAAGAACCGGTGTTTCAACGTGATATGGCCGTAAACTGAAAGCATTTGCGGCATGTAATTACTATGCCGACCTTACGTTAGGTTAACTTGTGAATGTGATACCCAGTGAGGATCGAACTCACTACATAGAAGTAGTGATCTACTTGACCAAATTTCTAGTTATTACTCCACAACGAAGTTATCCTTCCTTTTTCATTTTGATAAGCGTTTTGCCAGCTGATATACAAAAGTACTAATTATTTAAAAACATTTTTATGTTTAACATTCTTTTTATAGATACAAGTATTTAAGTAAATGTTCTGTTTATAATAAACAGTATTAAATAATATTTACCGGCCCGAATGTCCGAGAAATTTTCATAGAACCTGTATCCTATACAGAAACATCATATAGCCTGACGTGCCTTACCGATCGGCCACAAAGGATCGTTCGGTTGGCAAGGTCGAATTTACTGCTTATAAACTTCAATCTTCCATGAATCTCTCACGTACATTCATAACTGCTCATTCAGGCCGGTAAATGTTTTATAATCAATTCCACAAAGCTTCACAAATGTTTAATATGCGCACTAACTGTGACACGACACACGTCATGTAGTCCAGCTCCTGCCAAACACGCTGTAGCATGTCTTGCGTAACGTTCTCTATCGTCTCCGTGATTCTCTGCTTACATTGCTCTGGGCTTGTAGGAATATGGGGTATATTGACCTGTTTTTTCACATAGTTCCATAGAACAAATTACAAGGTGTCAAATCAGGCGAACGTGGTGGCCATTTCAATAGCACATTGTCATTATCACTGGTACCTTCGATCAATCTTCCTGGTAGATCCTCATTGAGATAAGTTCTTTTGTTAAAATTTGAGAAAGAATTGGCTGTTATTAGACTATAAAATGATATCAATTCTTTTGGCCACCCTGTATATGAACATATTACAAGTTAATACAGAGCAACCTCGGTTTTCGAACGTCTCACATATCGAATAAATTGGTTTTCGAATAGAAAATTAAAGATGAAAATGCCTCGGTTAGCGAACAAAATTTCGGTTCTCGAACAACATTGCCGAACCGAGTTTGAGACCCAAAGGCAGGGTGCTTACCCAAGAGGACCCCGTTCATCCTTATTAATGGAAGTTCGGGGTCAGATCGGTGATGATGGTATGTAACTAGCTTGGTTTTCGAGGCATTGAATGTGACACGACACACGTCAAGTCGGTAGTCCAGCAGCTGCCAAACACGCTGTAGCATGTCTTGTGTGACAACGCCTCAGTGATTCTCTGTTTAAGTTCCTCTAAGCTTGTAGGAATAGAGGACATATAGATCTGTACTTTCTCATAGGACCACAGAAAAAAATCACAAGGTTTCAAATCAGGCGAACGTGGTGACCATTTCATTATCATTATCACTGGCACACCCGATCCATCTTCCTGGTAGATTCTCACTGAGATAAGTCCGCACTGTCAACTGCATTGGCTATGTCATCAGACTACAAAATAATGTTAATTTTTGGGGACGTCCTATTTTTTAACAGTGTAAATTACGTTTACCGGCCTGCATATTCGAGAGACTTAATAAAGATCTTCTCTCCGGCAGGATTTGAAACTGCATCTCACTTTGTAGGAGAAACTACCGTCTGATCTGGAGTGCTTTAACTCGCTCGGTCACAGTTTATTTGCTTTTATACTTCTCGAGCAGTTGTGTATGCTGAGGCTGTCAGCTAAGTGGATGCCAAATATTTGAATGACGGCCAGAAATTATATCGAATGGATACCTCCAAGTTAATTTTGCAGCATTTCCAACGGCTGAGTGATTATTTATTTGGAACGACTTGATAGTGTTGGTGAAACAGGGTAACGCCATTATGATTTGGAAAACAAACAAAAATCTATGAAATAGCGGCATTTGGTTTCAAGGTTCAAAACACCGACCCAAAAGTCAGCACGAAAAACATAGCCACAGTTTTTTTGGAGGATAGAGACAATTATTTTATGACTGGCTTTAGAAGTGACGAGTAGTTAATTTAGATTGCAAGTTGATCTGATTAAATTGGGCATTGAAAGAAGAAAACGTCGATGAATGGATGTTATTAAATAATTTGGCGTTTGAGTGTATAAAGCGCGGAACCTTCTAACGAAATCTTGCTTCATCTAAATATTTTCGGTTGCAGCCATTGTGTCACTTCGCAACTGACCAACTCCTTCCATATAGCTCGATTGCGTGCCAGTTTAAGAGTCTCTGTGAAGAATCTTCCTGTCCACTTAGTGACGTTTTCAGCTTATTTATTTCATCTGTCAGCCTCTTCTTTTGCTTAAGGTGGCACCTTGTAAAATGGCAGAGGAAAAATTGTCGACTCTTCTGCTATGGTTATACAATTTCAACTTTCTCTTCTTCTAGACAGTGGTTATAGGGTCTTCTAAAGGGACTCTTTCTCGACTAATATTGTCTCACGCCGCGTCATTTGTGATGCGGTCTACATAGTAGATGCCAAGGATGGTTCTGTAGGATTTCATTTTTAATGCTTGTATTTTTCGCGAATAATTTTAAGCAGCATTTTAGTAACGAGACATTTCATGAATCGAGATCAGACCATTCCTGGTAGATCGCAGACCTTTTCAACACTCGCTCAAAAACAACAGTAGGTGGAGACAAAGAGCAAAAATATTATTTTGTCTCAATCTTGAAAATGGGAAGAGTTTGTCTGCTTGCCCAACCGCATTAAAAATCAGTATTCAAAATCCTGAGTTAATACTGACCTTAACGCCCCCCCCTCTAATTCTCTGCCATCGGTAAGAAATATGCAACTATATCAATGTTGTAATGTTGTCTTTGTTTAAAATAGCCGAGAATTAGGAAGGACGTGGTTAGAGAGAGTATCGATGGAACAGAAGGCTAAGTAAGGAAATAAAGAAGAAGAGGTTTATTAAATACTCATACATAAAACAGAAATAAATATACTACTCAAATCCTATTCTAATGTGGCTACTTGTCACAGCAGTAGGGAAGAGCAGGAGAGCCCTACTTTAGAAGAGTCAACCATATGGTAGGGCATTTCATTTTGTATACTAAGCTTAGCGTATAATGGCACAGATATAACCAGAGAAAAAGCTTGTGTTATGCTATTTTCCCAATCGTAAGGGTCTGTTTGAAAATACAAACACAGTCATCAAATACTGTTGGGAAGTATACCATTAAACATCCGCGTAGGTGGTTGCCATTAGCGATAAAATTGATGGTGTCTGTTTTGTCGTTAATAAGGATGATGTTGCTACAATAATGGGTTCTGATGACAGAAGTGTTGAAATAGAAATGATAGATGATAGCAATAATGTGATGCCGATGGCAGAGATGTGCGCGGAGCATATCGGCGTTCCAAATGGAATCAGTAGACCGAGTTCAAATTTCAGCTTTTGAATTTATTTATCCTACTCTCCAGTTATGAGTAAAAAATGTAGGGTGGACTGGATTCTCTAGCCTTGATAGAGCAACCAGTTTAAGCGAAGGGTGATTTGATTTAAAAAAAAAAAAAAAGAAAACACGAAAAAGGAAAAGGGGAACCACTCCACTGCCTCTCCCAAGAACAGGCGCAAAGATTCTCAATTTACAGATATTAAAGAAAAGAAGTTGTGGAGAGTCATAATCACCTGCATCTTGAAGGGATATTTTTATACACATATATCAATGGCGGTGAACAAACTGCATGTTGTTGATATTTTTATCAATTCCTTAATTTTATCTAAATTTCTTAAATGGTAGCACATCTGGACTTGAAACCAAATTACGGCACCTCCCTGGAATCCATCATATAAATTCAGCTTGTGGAAGCAATAAATACTAAATAATTCAAATACCTTGGGGTATGGATCACTTATAACAAATTTAGTTTAGCATATAAGGAAACTGAACATAGAATAGGTTTTGCCAGGTGTAGTTTCGTCCAATACCGCAAGATGCTAGAAAACCAAAATATTACCTAAGAATTCATCATGTTCTTAAATAGCCTCATCAGATTTAAACTTTCATATGGATGTCGTGCGTGGCGCCAAACTCGTTCAGGAATATCTACACTGCCAACTGTATATAATCGCTTTCTCAGATCATTGATTAAAAATGGCCTCGAGCGAATGAATCCTGTAGGTCTTAGATAGGACTATCCTTCTTCAAACGTTATGAACTGGGCCTACAGAACCACAAAGAAAGTACTATACCGAATAACAGAAACCACATCACTCGAAGACTTTCAAAAGCGGCAACAACTAAAATAGATATCACATGTAACTCAAAGAGAAAATAATGATGTCGATGTTCCACATTACTTCGAAGTTAGGAAGGAAACCGCCCTCACTCCTGGAAAGAGCGATATTGAGAGACTTATTTTCCTGAAAATTGTTTTAATAGAAAGATTTCATAAATGTCAGCTGAAAGTAGCACCAGCTGAATTTCGAATGTTTCCACATAAGGAAACAATATTGCCATTACCACTAGAGATTAGGAGAACAGATACTACACTTTGATCAATGAATTCCGAATATTTCTATATGAGGAAAGAGTTAATATTGCCATTACCACTAGAGATTAGGAGAACAGATACTACACTTTGATCAATGAATTCCGAATATTTCTATTTAAGGAAATGGCTAATATTAACATTATTATTATAAATTTTTCTTATGAAACAGTTACCTTTGTTTTTGTTCTTTCTAGCATGATGATTTGGTCGCTGTACCTTCCTCAAGTGCCTGTCGTATTCAGTAAACTTCAAGGGATATTAAAAAGAACAATTTTATTTGATCTATTGGGCACACAGTTCTTATTCTTGTCATGTTAGGTATCCTTACTAATTCTAAAATTCTCTTGGAATTGACACCGAGAAGCAATGCCTTTGCCTTGCTCGTCAAATTAATCGGTTAGAGTCACGTCTTTTTGACTCTGTGCCAAATCAAATACCTACTTATATATGGGCAGATGTTCCAGAGCGATTGTTAGCATGTTAGTTCGACATTTTATTGATAAAATAGTGAGTTCGATCTTCATTAGGCA